CATGCAAATGGGGATCAAACCTATGCAAACCTAAATTTTATATTGACGTTTGGCTAGAGTTACTAACTTACTCAAAAATGACTTCGTGATAAGCAAACCTCAGGAAAACCGACAAGCAACGCTGTATATCATGACGACTTCATAACAGTCCATCATTAATTAGCAATAAGCAAAAGAGATATTGCTTGTCTGCCATTTAAGAAAAACACCCTACAAGACACAGGTCGAAACTTGAATATTTCTAAATTGCAATTTAATTATTCTTCTGCAGGTAGGACAAAATAAGAACGAGCAAATTAGTATTTTAAATTTCAAAAAATTTACATGCTTGTACCTAAAAACAAAAATAAACCCGATCTTACGAGTTTATTAGCATGCTGCCAGTTATTGATATTTACATGTTTGCTCAAAGAAGCAATAACGTCGATAAAAGTACGTCATGATATCCGACAACTTATCACAGAGCGTGATGAATATTTATTTGCCAATTACCCATCATTAATTAGCAATATGCAATAAACTGACCGATGAACTTCAAGTCTCTAGAAGACTCAATGAGACAAAAATTTTAAAACTAGTGAATCATAATCACTCTTCTCAAACCAGTAGAAAAACATGTACGATTTATACCTTCCATTTTATGTTTCATGAGATCTGCATACTTAAAAAAAAGACTTTATGATGAAGAATTTTCAACAGGCTTCCTACTTATTTGCCATACGTGAAGTCCCCTAGAGACCCGGGTCCAAAAGATGATTATTACTGAATCATAATTTCCTATATCGTTGGGAACAAACGTATACAACCTAAGTTGTACACTGTTTCAGTCATTTTCAATAATCACATGGATCTGGTGATAATCATGTGGCAAGATAAGTGAAAAGCTATCATTGCACACCATAAGTTTTCATAATAACCCATGACTGAATGATGATTCACAGTAACCCAACAGCTTAGCTGCATCTTCGGTAGAATCCGTAAGAATACGGTCAAAAACGAAGAACTACATTTATTCAACCACAATTTAGCGTCATGAATAACACAAGTGTAGGAACTGAGTTTTACGACGATGGTTTCATCAAACTTACGTCGGACAAACGTTTATAAAACCCGTTTTTAATTATCAATTTCAATTTTGCTTAATTGCAGACTTCAACAAACATCAAACAAGAATAAATAACTATAATGAAAAATACGAATGAGTAAGGATCAAAAAATGACATAAAAACAGACGATTCGATTAATGCTCTGACAGTTAAGGTAAAGGCAACTGAAAAAAGAACGAAGTTCCCCCATAACTATAGAAGAAAGGGAGGTGCACATGATTTTCGTCGATAAAATGATATGCATCGGTCATTCACTAACGCAGTAATGGTATAAACTAACGGTAGATGGTGTGAAGACAAACAATTGTACTTTCTAGTTAAAAAGAACTATCGGTG